TCAAGGCTGAGCCAGGCTCTGTGGTTTCTCTCAGAAGTGTTGTGACCATCAGGTGTCAGGGGAGCCTGGATGCAGAAATATGTGTTCTGCATAAAGAGGGAAGTCAAAATCCCTTTGATACACAGACGCCAGAGAAGCCTGAGAACAAGGCCAAGTTCTCCATCCCTTCTGTGACACAGCAACATGGGGGACAATATCGCTGTTACTGTTACAGCTCAGCTGACTGGTCAGAGCCCAGTGACACCCTGGAGATTGTGGTGACAGGTGAGGGTCTCAGGACCAGGCTCTGCTCTCAGGAATATTCCCCTCCTACAGCCTAGCCCTGGATAGCATTCTAGATGTGTGCATCCATGAAACAGTCTGCCTCCTTCTCTCCTAGGAATCTACTACCATAATAAACCCAGCCTGTCAGTCCTGCCCAGCCCTGTGGTGACTTTAGGAAGGAATATGACCCTCCAGTGTGTCTCTTATGGGAGGGATATGAGAAGTTCATTGTCACCAAGGATGACCAGAAGTTTCTCAGCTCCCCGAACTCACAGTTTATACCCAATATTAGGCAGTGGCAAGCCTTGTTCTCTATAGATCATGTAACACCAGACCTCAGAGGGACATTCAGATGTTATGGTTACTACAAACATACCCGACACTGGTGGTCAGTACCCAGTGAACCCCTGGAAATACACATCACAGGTGAGTCAGCGCCATCATTGATCCATCAATTTTTGACACCCTTAGCCCTTTGCCATGGACCTGTCCCCCTGGGTAGTTGCAGGTGGAGAGTGGGAGAGGAAGAGCCTGGTGGCTGAGCCAGAGCCCCACTCCTGGGGAGAAGCAGTGACATGTGCAGGGCAGGAAGGGAGGGGATCAGTGTTTGGTAAAAACCGGCTTCTCAATCACTAGCCTGACACCTTCCCTCTAGGTTTGTCCAAGAAGCCGTCCTTGCTGACTCACCAAGGCTAGATCCTGAACCCTGGGAAGAGCCTCACCCTGCAGTGTTGCTCTGACATCAACTATGACAGATTTGCCCTGTACAAGTTAGGGGAAGCTGACTTCAACCAGCATCGAGTCCAGTGGAACCAGAGTGGCCTCTCCTTGACCAACATCACACTGGGCCCTGTGAGCAGCTCTACTGGAGGCCAATACAGATGCTATGGTGCACACAAACTCTCCTCTGAGTGGTCAGCCTCCAGTGACCCCCTGAATATCCTCATCACAGGTGAGGACCTAAACAGATTCCCCCAGGTACTTAACCTCTGCAAGGGCTCTCATGGGGGAGATAAGATGGAGATTGCTGGGATGAGGGACAGGGATTTTATGAAGAAAGAGTTGTTGAGGCAGGAGAACAGGAAAGGGCCTAAGTCAAGAAAAGAGAGAGAGTCCCAGGTGCTCAGGGCAGATACAGGTGAGGTGTCAGCTCAGAACATTGAAGGCAGCTTCTCATCATCCCTCTTCTCTTTAGGACAGCTTCCATTCAGTCCTTCCCTCTCAGTGAAGCCTAACTCCACAGTACACTCTGGAGACAACGTGACCCTGCTGTGTCAGTCAACATACAAAGTGGACACTTTCATTCTGTCCAAGGAGGGAGCAGACCAACAACCCCAGAGACTAAAATCAAAGTCTGAAGCTGGGGACTTCCAGGCAGAATTCTTCATGAGTGCTGTGACCTCTGACCTCTCGGGCACCTACAGGTGTTATGGTTCCCAAGACTCATCTCCCTACCTGCTGACACAAGCCAGTTTCCCTGTGGAGATCACTGTCTCAGGTAAGGTAACCCTGAACTCTCAGAGTGACTTACAATTCAAACCCTAGGAGACCCCTTGACTTCGATGGGATTAAGGGGACAATAGGAAGGTTAGTCAGAAGGCACTTTCCCTGCCAGAGAAGAGGATGCCAGCAGCGGTCCTTCTAGTAATGTCCACTCCATCCCCTGCTACAGTCTAGTTTGGGTAGACAGCAGGAGAATTATAGGGAGTTTACAGGGCAGATGTAGAAGAGCATGCAGAGGCAGGTCCCTGGTTAACATCCAAACCTCACCCTCCTACTCTTCTTTTTCCTGGGACCCATTAGAGTCTCAAGACCACCACCCTCAAGACCTATGCCAACAGCTGGTAAGTATCAGGCACCTCAGTGCAGGGAGTATGCTCCATCCTCAGGCTGCCTCACAGCTCTTAGCCCAGAAAAGTCTTCATGTATCTGTCACTTCAGCTTGTGAGTGTGGAAGTAAACAGAGATCCCAACTGAGACCCAAGAAGCCCAGGGTTTAGTTTGTGACATCCAGAGAGAGATTTTTAGGCTCAGTATGGAGGACTGGACAGCTGGGTAAGGTGGAGAACAGGAAACCCAGACACTCACCTGCCCATCCTGCCACTAAGGTCTTGAGAACACACTCCTCAGATCTATGGAGTCAGGCACCAGAAGACTATGTAAAGACCCTGTTGTTGTGTGGATCCTGATGGACAACAGCTAATTATGGACTTCATACAGATGCTATGCAAATTTTGACTTGGACAAATCCTTCTGTTTCTGGACTGCTGATAATCTTCATAAAAAATGGAGACGGTGGCCCATACCTTTAAGTTTCCTTCAGTGGTGACCTTGGCTGTGAGTTCTGACAGAAGAATGATTCAGAACTTGATTCTGTGGCAGATCAATCTCACAATGGCAGGGACATGTGCAAGGGTGAGGCAAAGGGCCATGTCACAGAATTCAGGTTTCTTCTGTCTACATCATGGGACATGGATCTAATATTCTCTGTGACTTCTGTGACCTCCACTCTCAAAGGCATCTACAGGTGCTATGGAGACCTCAACTCATCACTTTATCTATTGTCATGTGTCATTGCCCTTGTGGACAGCTCTTGGTCCTAGGTAAAGTATTCCAATCATTCTAAGCTGAAAGGGTTTCTCAACATTCTCCATCTACAATAATTATTGGTTTGGCCGGCCATTGGTGGCACTCACCATTAATCTCAGCAATTGGGTGGCAGAGTCGGGAAGATCTCTGTGAGTCTGAGGCCAGCCTGGTCTACAAAGCAAGACCCAGGACAGGCACCTACACAGATAAACCATGCCTCAAAACAATTATTGGTTGGATTGGGTTATAACTGCTGCAGGGGATCATTCAGTTGGATATTCACCATTATGATGCTGGAGGCCAACATGGATATTTCCAGGAATGCTCATTCTCTTTCTTACTAGTGGAATCCAGAAGGTTTCAGTTAGTCTGAAAGAACACCTTGGGGAGGCCTTGGACAGATTTAAGACACTAAGCAAAAGCTTGTTCCCAGTGACAACCTCTGCTCATCTCCACATATCAGTATTCACAGACTCTTTCACTCAGTGTACCCATAGGCCACTTTGTCTCCACGGGATGAGGAAGCCTTGTGGCAGTAATTACAAAGCCTGCTGTACTCTCCTTCTGTTCAAAGCAGACCCACATCCATAGTTGAACCATACAAGATACAATTCATCATGATGATTGATTATGAAGTCAGCAGCCTTTCTCTTCAGGGTGAAATAGAGGAACTGAGAATGTATGGGTTCAGCCTTCTTTTGTGAGGTGACAGATAAGAAGGTCTTTTGCCAATACTTGGTGTGCTCATCTGAACAAGATGAGGTTTAGGGATAGGATCTCCAGGTATGATCCACCACTGACCCATAAGTCTCCTACACTGATTGGAGACAGGAACCACTCTCTCCTCATGCTATACCCTGTCTCTTTGTCTCAATAACTATTATGTGTAAAGATGACTAAAATAACAGTTAGATATGTCAGTCTTGGAGTCTATGGTTAGTGTGAGCTATCCAAGCTATTGGGGAAAACATTAGGTAAAACGCCAATGTCTTACTATCTACTGCCTTTCCTGGTACACACACACACACACACACACACACACACACACACACACAC